ACCTTTGAACAACATTAACTCACCATCACCTACAACGAGCAAAACAAGGTGATAAGATGTTTACCTTTGAATTTGGAAGTAATAAGTCAATGACAATATCAAAGTAAAAGTTAAAATTACGCTAGGCTTAATTTTGTTTGGATAGCGCCATAATGATAACAAAACCATAATGATAACTTTGATTTAGTGTGGCACGGCGCGGGTTTGTTAGCATACTACTTATCATTTTGTACAAATTAGTATGTTGTACGAATCACCTTATATACTTTGTCTTAGTTACTTATGCTAAGTAACACATTATGCAAAATATATGTCTTATCTAGAACTCACACTCAAATCCAGATATTGTTACGAATTCAATCGTTTGATATTGTTTTAAAAACAGATGCAAATACGGGTTACTTGTAGCATATTACAGTAAAGCTTATTTGATAACAAGTAAGAAAATTTAAACAGAAAAGGGCTAAGTGCATTGGTATAGGAAACACAGAGCATTAAAAATATATATTTTTTCCAAATAAACTGCCGCCATTTTGAAACGGAAAAACATAATTCATTTGTATTTTCGTCAAAATGCTTGTCTATTAAATACCTTGAAAATGATGTATAAAATGACATATGGTTACGTTTGAAAAATCCGATATCAGAACTAGTAACCCTCAGTTGTTGGCACACCCTGTATCGGAAAAAAGTTGGAAATATTTTTACGTTATTCCTTGGGGTTGATTTAGCGGGAAATGATTGTACTTCACCCTTGTACGTTAAGCCGTTCTTCCTTAATCAATTTAAAAAACCTTATTTGGGACACGTTGTATGATATAACCTTATGATAAACACGAATTCTTGAAAGTTCGCTTAATAACCATAGCTTTGCCTAGGGGACAGAAACCCGGTAAGTGGTTTTGTGCTCTAATCTTGAAACTATCCATTTACGTTTAAAAATCTACTTAAGGGGCTGAAATTAATTTTACTCCCTCAAAAATATGGATGACAAAGGCAGCCATAGACAACAAGCAAGTACCCATACAATGAGACCGAAGTTCACAAAGACCGTCTGTGCTTGTTATAATTAATGATGGTCTCTTCTCTACTCAACATTCTTGTTACAATATGTACCGCAAGATACATTGTAGTTTTCTATAAAAAAGTTATTTTAGTGTTTTATTCAAATTTAGACAAGGGAATATTTTAATAAAATTTTCAAGCAATTAGTTCACTTTGGCTTTTGCTTTCGTAGAATGTTGTACTAAAATATTTTCAGTTTAAAACTTTCGGTACTTAGGTATTATACGGAGGCCACATTTTTTTCAGCGCGCTGCGGCGGTAATGTTAGGTTGGGTTATCATAATAGAAAGTATGACTCGTCTGGTATCGCTTTATTCATAACAAAACGAGGAAAGTCCTACAAACATATTTATGATAACCCAACCTAACATAGCCGCCGCAGCGCGCTGAAAAAAATGTGGCCTCCGTATAATACCTAAGTACCAAACTTTCTACAATACAAATTGCATTTTTAAATCAGATTATGAACACTAACAGTAGTAAAGATTGAGTATATGGACAGTAAAATAATGTTTTGCAAAAATAATAAAAGTAATCACTTCATAATTGAATCAGGAGAGGAAATTGAACTAATGGTGCAACTGTGGATTTAACTTGTAACTTGTAGATAACCACCTTCCAAACTCATCCTGTTAAAATTATTTATCCAAAATAGATTTTTTTATTAAGGATTTTGCATTTGATCGAATTTTATATCATACTAGTGTTGTACTGTATTAGTTCTAATCCAAAACAAGAAAATTTGTTAAAGAAATGAAAACTCTAAGCTGCTTACTGTAAACTTTTATCGTCTTATTTCAACAAAACTTTATTAATAAGCCTGGCGAGAGCGAACTTAACTTTGACACCTTGCTGGAAGTTTTGATTTGTATTTTTCCCTGTAATGTAAATCAATATCGCCGCTTTTATAGACTGTATGATCTGAAAATATGTCCTAGTTACCCACAACTGCTCTTCATATTCATTTGTGTGAATTTTAGAGAAATCTATTTTTTAGGACATTGGCAGCTCCTTTTGACCTAGCATTTGCCCATCCACATAGACTAAGGATCCGTGTGTGGAACGTATTCAGCAAAGCAAGGGGGGGGGGTTAGACCTACAGTGCAAGGATGAGCTGTACTGATTAAAAGTAATGGATCCAAGCGAACGACGTCGCTGCCTTGGGCCGTAGTCCCCTTTGGTATGTATTTAGAAATAGGATAGCCCTATTTAAAAATACTTAAATGGTCCAATTTGAACTTAATCGGCAGCCATTTTAATTTGTATACTTAAACTACAAAAGAACTACTGATTTTACAAACAAATGTTAAGAAAAGTGAACACTTTTTTATAACTTAAAATGTCTTATCAAACAACGTCTAGCTCAAAAATAGCAAATAACAATTTTCTGAAAAGACCAAAAAATGTATCCAAAACATTTAAATAGGATTAAAATAAACACTACATGGATAAACATTTTGCCCTCATTGATTTTACCTCTTTCACATTGTGAAATATATGAGGCAAATAATTTCGTAGTGGTCCCAAAACAACATTTCTAAATACATTTTTAAATTCATTGTACAACAGTTTTTCTAATTTGCCATCTATGAATCCATTTAGCAGTATTATATTTACCGACGCATCTTTCTTTCTCTTTAATTAAAAAAACAAACTTTAACCTTACTTTTTGAAAACAAAGTCTTACCGAGTCAAAACAAGGATTGTGCGGAGGGAAACAAGACCAGCCTTAATCTTAAACCAGCTGTTCTTAATAAGTAACAGGTGTCATTAACCCCTTATCCTGTCTAAAGCAGCCGTTTGTTCTAATTACTTTGGTCTAACCCTTCTCTAAGCTATTTTACAGTTTACCCAACAACCATTTGTAAAATTCCTCAGGGTGTTCTTCAATTTAAGGATTGAAGGGGAAATAGTTTATTTCAAAAAAACCATGTAATAGAGTTTTTATTTGTAGGATATCGTTTTATTGGGAAAAACCAAAATCAAATTGTGTAACACACTTTACATTAGAAATAGCATCGATTATAAGTCTAAAGATTGAATTGCAAAGCTTCATGAACACTATTTTAACTTTATATTGTTTATATAGTATATATCATATTATATAGCATATTGTTTAAACTGTAAATAACGTAAAATAAGTTGATTTAATAAGATATTGTTATGTAAATGTTTGTTCACATGTTTTGAACATTTAAAACTATATCGTTCCTTGGAGTATAGCTTTGTTAGTGTTAAATGAAACCTTAAATATTTGTTAATATGCGTAAATATTTTTCGCCTTAAAAGATCAATAGCGTCCTTAATGCATAAATACTATCCACTCTCTTTAATATAAGCTAAAGCTATATGATATTGTGTGGCCGAACTCAAGCCAAATGTAGTATTAATACACAAGTAAACCAATCGAAATTGTAAAGTTTTTAGCCATTTCTAAAACTCCGGTATAAAAATCTTACATAATAAACCTCATTATCAACAGGAAGTTAAACGATGTAGTATTTAAAAAAAATTAGTAATATTTTGAAAAATAACTTGGATCAACTACTGTGTCATTAAAAAATCAGCAATTTTGGCACTGAAACAGATTAAGCTTATAAAAACATGAATATAACTGAACAATAAAGAAAATCATTAGCATTAACATCTGTCAATTTCCCTGTTGACTGTAATCTGATCCAACTACAATACGCTGTCTTCCCTACACACACGCAATAGGTATTGATTTATAATAACCGTATAGCAGAGGTACAAGCTCCCAATGTTCCCTTTAGATTTCCATGTCAATGGAACTGATGTTTGTCTGGCTTTCTTTGGGTTATTGCCAGCTCCAATGTTATCTAAGCTCCAATACCTTTCCAGCATAGACATTGGCTTACCTTATTATTAGAAGATATGATAATTATACTTTTATTCGTGTTTCAGTATGTATAACTATTATACGAATCCCAAGGAAAATATAGATAGATGTTCGTATGCCCACTTTTTTGTATAGAACAAGTACTTTTTGGTATTTAGTTTTACCAATAACAATTTACCTAGATTAGACTTTTGAGTTCTCACTTCGTAATATTGTTCCTGGTCCAAGGAAACTCTTTGTGTTTTAAGTGCTTACTTTTCCTCAAGGGGTGAAACGTATTATTTAACCCTTTATCATCCAAACAACGTGTGAATAACCGCCATAACCTTATCTGAAGTCATCTTATTTGAATTCGTAATACAAAATTTTAATTAAAATGATGTATGTTATACATTATGTGTCATAATTGTTTCTGAGAAACTTGCTTTATCGTTTCATAGACAAATAGAATCAGTTGCTATTTTATCAGTTATAAAACATAGTTTTATATCTACAAAACATGATCTTCCTGGTCAACTGTTTTTTTTTTTTTAACTAATGTCTAATCCGTGTCATATCTTCATCGTCATATTCCACACCAAGTTTATACGGATTCTGGTCAATTCCACCTTAGTTTAACTCCAATTTCTTTTAGACTGGTTAACACTTTGTCTTTATTAATTTAGAAGATATATTAGGGTTATATCTTATTGGAGTAAACTGTGTTCAAAACGCGTTACATTTTTAATTGAGAAACAACACTAACCCAAGATTAGATGAATTTATGCTGAGGTAGTTCATTTCCTCCTTTACAGGTAAGTTATGAAGCCAGCGATTTATTGGTTAATTTTCGTTTGTCGTTTTAACATACTTATATGAATACTTCATCTGAATCTATTCATGCAAACCAATCCAACAATGACGCCCTTTATTCGTGTTGACCTGAAACCACAACAAAAACCACATTGCAAAACACCGAGAAATTACAAAAAGAAAACACTATAAATCCATAAACATATTATTTTTATTACAAACACTTTAGTATACAACAATAAAAGAGTAGTAAATTATTCCATTTTTCTATTCATTTAACCAAACAGTTTTTATTGAACATAATTCTTACGTGATTTTTATTTTTTATAACGCGGGATAAACAAGTCACAAGGGTGGGGATAGGGATTTCCTAACTGTTTGGGAAAGTCTTGGCAAATTGTCCCACAAGGTGCATATCTATATCCGCAACAACAGGCAACTGAAAATAAAACATGAAATCTTTGTTAGGCAGTACTATGGAGCTAAACACATTTTAAAATTGTTTCAATATTAAAAAAAAGTTAAGTTAGCTATGAATATATCACTTGCTTGTGGTGGTGGGCAGTTAATCATTCTTAACTCTTATTTACTATGACATTCACATATAGTTTAAGGTATATTAAGGTATAAAAGCTTTTTACCAAGATACTTCAATAAAAGACTTCGACATTTTTGTCGAAAGAAAGACGGTATACAGAGAGGGACTATGTCCACAAACTAAAAAAAACTATATTAATTCAAAAACAATAAATCTAACGAATTATATGTTTCAACCCCTTAATTAAACTTGGTTATTTCATTCCCGGTAGCTCAGTTTAGTTTTTATTAAGTTTTTATATTTTTACAATAAAGGCGGTTCTTTATGTAGCATTTAAATAATACCTTTTGATAATACGCAACCAGAATGATTTAGTTTACATTGCTTACGCTAAAGATGCTATACACTAAATATTTAAGTTCCTTCCTACATTAGTATATTTTCAAGTCTAGATTCGGTCAAGTGCTGGAGGAAGCCTATCGTAATTATATTACCATAGTAAATAACATAGAGGAAATTGCACAACTCCCTTACATGCTTCAGTCGTTGAAGAAAGTAACATCATGCTAACTAACAACAGAAGAAACAATTTCATCAAAGTTGCCATTCTCTGTAAAAGAAATTAATAGTCCTATCATTACACTTTTCAAGAATACGTATTTTTAGATGGACTACTCTTGTTTAATGATTTTATATAATATAATAATAATAATAATAATAGTTTCTTATGTTACACAAGTTTCAAGAAAACTTATCTAGACAACAAAAGTCTTTCGAAAAACTAGTTTTATATAAAATATTCATCTGCAAAACTTCCACATGCCTCCACAAAGTGGATTTATACTATAATTTGTTGAATATGAGAAATAGACAAAAGACAATTAATTTATTTTTTGGGTAAACAATCATAAGCGATTAAGATTTTAAAAGAATGTTTAACAAATCAAAACAAATATTGAAGAACAAAAAATTAGTTTTATAAAAAAAAAACCTATTCCTACATCAATGTGGATCATTATTTACCTGTAGGAGCTTCGTGGCTGGTTCTAAACTAATAACTTTACAGCAGCTTTATCACAGAAATGCAAACAAATAATTTAACTCTTCTTCAATATGAAGTAGTAAATCATTTTACAATTAACATTTTATTGACCGTATTACGAGTACAATGGAAGGTATTGCTGGTTCAGATTAGTTAGGCAATGAAGCAAACAATTAACTAAAGAGAGATTTCTACATATGTGTGTTAATTCAAGTACAAATTTACTGTTGTTTTCCAAGTTGTTGTGGAAGACATTAATTTGTTTTTACTAAGTTTTTAGAAAAGGGGTTTTTTTAGACGGGTTTGCATATGATCGTTGTTTAGAAGTTTTAAAACTCAAGGCTTTTATCATTTTATTAGTATTTCAAACGCTTTAAATGCTGTTATTATTTAAATAAAATAACGTTTTTCTAACACGGAAACAATAGTTAGTGTTGATAATTTTATGTACTATACAGTCAGAATGACTTACGTTAATGATTGTGAAAAAGTCAAACCTTAAAAATACTAAGAAATAAGGGATGATAAAAGTGTAGTTGAATATAGTGTATTGGTAGTAAAATATAGAAATAGTTTGGCATGAAATAGAATAGTCAAACACGCAACTTAATCAACTGTATTGAGGATTAAGAAACACGAATTTAAGATGTGAAGATAATAATCAGTAATATAAAAAAAAAAATGACAACTATTTGACAGGGACCAAAGGATACTTAGTTGTGTTCCTGTATTTGACTGCCAAATTTTAATGTAATTGTAAAGGTTTATTTAAAAATGTGTAAATAGAAAACCTCGATATGGATCTATTTGGAATTGTATGATTTAAATAATAAGTCAAATTAAGTCTTCAAATTCATAACATGTTAAACTGCCCCAATGTACACGTTTTATGTATGTTTATAGGCCCGTCCAAACCGAAGTGGGAAAGCGGGAGCGGGAAGGTGGCGGGACGAATTCCCGCGCGGGATTTTAAAACACGTGGTGTTAGAAGTGAGCACCTACACTAGAGCGGTACCGCTCCCGCCGTCCCGCAGCGTGTTCGATCGTCCCGCCGGTTTGAAACATGTTGGATTTTCCCGCTCGTGCCGTAGGAACACATGGGTACGATGGGTACATGGCTCATTTGGTGCCAGACGTTAGATAATATGGCTGAGGACGATTCCAGTGCGTTGTTCATTGAACAGTTGGTGGAATATGTTTATTTGTATCCAGTTAGGTGTTAAGGTGAAAAGTAACTTACACATTTTTGCTTATTTATGTTATATTTGCGTGAGTTGTACATATTTCACAAATTTTATAAAAATCAAAATACCCATTAAATTGAGGAAACAATACATAAGACATTTAAAAATACAAACACAAACATTCACTTAACACAACCACTCTGTAACTAATGAGTAATAAAGATGAAAATGAACTGAGGAGTCGTCCCGCTTCCCGCTGCCTGCAGCTTCGGTGTGGGCTACCTCTTTCCCGCCACGTATCGCTCCCGCCGCTTTCCCGCTTCGGTTTGGACGAGCCTTAGTGTAAAACATTAGTAAACTATTTAAAATCCTTCGTATAAAGGAGCCTAAGTTGTATTAATTAACGTTACTATACAAATGCAACTATATAATGTAAATACCCCCGCCGCAGCAAACCTGCAGACTAAGCGAATTTCCATTTGACTGATTGGATTTACACTGAAATGTCTACTTAAAAATATAACATTTACTCTTGATTTAAATAGAATTAGTTTAACAAGTACTTAGGTTTGCTGCATCAGGGAGGGTAAAGCTGTTTTTTTTTGTTTTTTTTTTGTAAAATGTGAATAGTTAGTAAGAAATTAAAACATTTTCCAAATTTGATCAAAATATGTTCACAAACAAGCAAACTACTTCAGTTTACTTATTCTCCATAAGAATAACATGGGAATTTTAAATTTACAATTTTTTGGAATTTTCAACGTAACCATTAGGCGCATAATAACGCTTCAATATACTAAATTATTTGTTTTTTAAGCTCTACAAAATGGTTTGGAAAGAAATTACTAAATTTTATGTTTTTTGGGTCAAAAATGGGAAAAACCTATTTTTACCCCATAAAACCCCCCGTAAACCCCCGTTTCCATGGTCCGATCATGCTGGATCGCGAACTCGTTCGAATAAACGTAGGTTTTACTCGTTTGTACCAAATTTCATGAAAATCGGATCATTTTTGCTCGAGTTATCGTGCTGACGGACACACATATATACATATATAAATATATATATATATAAATATATATATATATATATATATATATAAATATATAAATATATAAATATATAAAAATATATATATATATATATATGAATTCGAACGGATGGTGTTTTTGGCCTCTAGGGACCTCAAAACGAAAAAAAAATCGGTCCCGCGTCCAGGTCTTACCATGAGTACTACGGTAATAGCTTATTCCCTATATGGCAAATTCGCTAAAACAGCTACTTGAGAGTCAGTTGTGGATGCAATACTCTCCGGAGTGGATTAACGTCCGCACTAGTGTGTACTACCATAGACTGTCAAAGGAAGGTTCCGGCGCCCACCGCTAGGAGTGCCGTGTATTTACGGCGCACACCTCTGCAGGTGAAGAACGCAGGATCCGTATGCGACCAGCAGACGCTGCAGCGGTGTATGCCGTAACTACACGGCAAACCTAGCGGTGGACGCAAGAACATGTGCTAACCGCAACACAGCTGACGGTCTATAATTTGACTATGGTACTACGTCTATCCACAGTACTATACTGATGATTAGACCAATTTGTAAATTAGCTAAGTTGCTATTATGGGCTATTAATTAACAGTCCTGCCTACTTGACATTTTACTAATACCATTGACTACGGAAAGTAAATAAAAGTAACGTCTTATAACACTTAAAACATATATTAACGCTTATAATGTTACTCACAAGACGGTAAATATACAAAAAACATGTTAAGTGGTTATTATTTAGAAAATTTTTATATCTACAAAACATGATTTTCCTGCTCAACCGTTTTCTTTTAGCTAATACCTAATCCGTGTCATATCTTCATCGTCAAATTCCACACCAAGTTTATACGGATTCTGGTCAATTCCACCTTAGTTTAACTCTAATTACTTTCAGACAGAAGGTTTCTTGACATTTGGTCTTCATAAGTTTAGAAGTTGGTTATTTTAGTTATATCTTATTGGAATAAAATGTGTTCAAAACGCGTTAGATTTTTAATTGAGAAACAACACTAACCCAAGATTAGATAAATTTATGATGAGGTGGTTAGTTTCCTCCTTTACAGGTAAGTTATCAAGCCAACGATTTAGGATTAATTTTTGTTTGTCGTTTTAACATACTTATATGAATACTTCATTTGAATCTATTAATGAAAACCAATCCACCAACGGCACTCTTTATTCGTGTTGACCTGAAACCACAACAAAAACCACATTGCAAAACACCGAGAAATAAAAAAAAACACTATAAATCCATAAACATATTTTTAATTCAAACACTTTAGTACACAACAATAAAAGAGTAGCAAATTATTTCATTTTTCTATTCATTTAACCAAACAGTTTTTATTAAACTTAATTCTTACGTGATTTTTATTTTGTATAACGCGGGCGAAAAGGGTCACAAGGGTGGGGTAAGGGACTTCCTATCTTTGTGGGAAATTCTTGGCAAATTGTCCCACAAGCTACAGTTGTAAATCCGCAACAACAGGGACCTGAAATAAAACATGAAATCCTTGTTAGGCAGTATTATAGAGTTAAAAACATTTTCATATTGTTTCAAAATTTTAAAAAGTCAAGTTTGTTATTAATATATCACTTGATTGAGGTGGTGGGCAGTTAATCGTTATTAACTCTTATTTACTCTTATTTAACTATATTCGCATATAGTTTATGGTATAAACAATTTTTACCAAGATACTTGAATAAAAGACTTAAATATTATTGTCAATAGAAAGACAATAGACAGACAGAGTCTATGTTTACAAACATTAAAAACTATAAGAATACAAGAAACAATAAATCTAACGAATGATATATTTAATCATCATAATTGACATAATTCAACTTGGTTAGTTTACCTTTGATAGTCCAATTTTAGCTTTTATTGAGTTTTTATAGATATACAGTAAATGTATTCCTCTTCTGTACCATTTAAATAATACACAACCAGCATGTTTAGGTTTGCATTGCTTACGCTCAACACGCTCCTATGTGCACTTATTTTGATTAGCTGGATATTAAAATAATAAATTTCCTTCCTACATTGGTATACTTGCAAGTCTCAATTCGGCCAAGTGGTGGAAAAAGCCAGAATCTTAATTCTATTACTATAGTAAAAAACATAGAGGAAATTTCACAACTCCCTTACTTGCTTCAGTCGTTGAAGAAAGTAACATCATGCTAACTAACAACAGAAGAAACAATTTCATCAAAGTTGCCATTCTCTGTAAAAGAAATTAATAGCCTTATTATTACACTTTTCATGAATACTTTTTTTTTTTTGATGGACTACACATGTTAAATGAAGTATTTCTTAAATTATTATTTTTTTTTGTATGGGAATTACAAATAAAGTAATTTTTTCAATGAACAATCATAAGCGATTAAGATTTTAAAAGAATCTAGAACAAATAAAAAAAAATTAAGAACAAAAGTGTGTTCAATAAAAAAACACTTTTCTTACTATAATGTGGATCATTATTTACCTGTAGGCGCTTCGTGACTGGTTGCAAACTAATAACTTTACAGCAGCTTTATCACAGAAATGCACAAAATTAATTCTTTAATATGAAGTAGTAAATCCTATTACAATTAACATTTTATTGACCGTATTACGAGTACAATGGAAGGTATTGCTGGTTCAGATTAGTTAGGCAATGAAGCAAACAGTGAACTAGAGAGAGATTTCTACATATGTGTGTTAATTCAAGTACAAATTTACTGTTGTTTTCCAAGTTGTAGTCGAAGACATTTTTTCTAAATATTATTTTAATTTGTTTTACTACGTTTTTAGAAAAGGGTTTTTTAAACGGGTTTGCATATGATCGTTGTTTAGAAGTTTTAAAACCCAAGGATTTTATCATTTTATTAGTATTTCAAACGCAATAAATGCTGTTATTATTTAAATAAAATAACGTTTTTCTAACACGGAAACAATAGTTAGTGTTGATCATTTTATGTACTATACAGTCAGAATGACTTACGTTAATGATTGTTAAAATGTCAAATCTTAAAAAATACTTAGAAATAAGGGATGATAATAGTGTAGTTAAATATAGTGTATTTATATTGGTAGTAAAATATAGAAATAGTTTGGCATAAATACAATAGTCAGAAATTTAACATATTCAACTTATTAAGGATTGAAAAACAGTAATTTAATATGTGAAAGTATTAATGAGTAATAATCAAAAGAATTTAAAGAATAAATGAAATGAAGTCTTCAAATTCATAAAATGTTAAATTACCCCAATGTACACATTTTATGTTTGTTTATAAAGTGTAAAACCTTAGTAAACTATTTAAAATCCCTCGTATAAAGGAGCCTAAGTTGTATTATCTAATGTTACTATACGAACGCTACTATATAATATAATGACGGCTACTTGGAAGTCACGAATTGGGGATAATTATAGGCATGATCTGTGTATGCGATACCCTCTGGAGTGGATTAACGTCCTACTAGTGAGTACTGTCATAGACAAATAGAATAAATATAGACTGTCAAAAGAAGGTTCCGGCGCCCACCGCTAGGAGTGCCATGTAGTTACGGTGCACACCTCTGCAGGCGAGGAACGCAGGATCCGTTTGCGACCAGCAGACGCTGCAGCGATGTGCGCCGTAACTACACGGCGAACCTAGCTGTGGACGCCAGAACTTATGCTAACTGCAGCACAGCTGACGGACTATATTTATTCAATTTGTATATGGTACTACGTCTATCCACAGTACTATCCTGATGATTAGACCAATTTGTAAATTACAAGGCTGTGATTCGGATTCTAAGTTAAACTGGCCACTAATACAGACCTGTCTACTTCACATTTTACTTATAAAAATCTTATATAATAAACCTTGTTATCAACTGGAAGCTAAACGATATAATTTTGTTGTTGTTGATAATATTTTTAAAAATAACTTTAATTAACTACTGTGTGACATAAACTCTTTAATGTTGACACAGAACCAGATTAATCTCATAAAAATGTGAAATGAACTAAACAATTAAATAAATCTACACTATTCACATGAGCCTTTTCCCTATTGTTTGTAATCCGATATAACTACATACATTGTCTTCTCTACCCACACAATAGGTATTGATTCATAATAACCATAAAACAGAGGTACAAGACCCAATATTCCCTTTAGATTTCCATGTCAATGGAACTGATATTTATTTCAAACCGGCTTTCTTTGGATTATTGCCTATCCCAGCTCCAATACCTTCCAGTAAAAATATTATCCTACCTTATTATAAGAAAATATATACATGTTTTTCTTTTTGTCATCTATAGTAAATATATTATTTGTAGGTATAATTATTAAGTTGTTACGCCCTATCTCAGTATAGAAAGGTAGAAGTTGTTATTTTACCACTTACTAGTTCCAATTGATCTAGATTTTACGTTTGGGTTTTAACTACCCTATGTCGTTTTTGTCCCTTAAAGATAAAGAAACACATTTGGTTTATAAATGCAAAACATGGCAATGCTTATTTTATAGCATATTATTCTCTTAACACTATTAAAAATAAACAAATAGATCAACGTTATTACCTTCATAAGAACTTACACTACAGTAACGTACTGTAAACCTAATAAGTTTCATAAAATAATTTATTGATTAACATTAAAAATACATAAACACAACATATTTCCATAATATGTATCGTAACAAATTTGACATACCACACTTTTAGCATTTATAACGTTGCAGCAACAATATTCTTTATGTTAACTATAAGCAACATTCATTTATTAGAAGTTAGAGTTTTCAGTAAAACTATTCGTTGTTTGGATGTATTACCCTAAGAAACAAATAATTTCACATCACTAAATTAGTTTATTTCAAATAAATATTTAAACCTACAAACTCACACATTTTACTATCTTGTTGTAAAAGCTTTAAGCAAACCTGGAAAATTGTTATTCACAATTAAAAAGCGTGTAAGGATAGGATTCCCTGTTTTTATACTTTTTATGATTGTTTTAATAAAAATATGACAGATTAGATTTCGTAATGAATAAAAATAATACCCTACTATATCACATATTGGGGTTTCTGAAAACGTAATTTTCAGTATAGATGGCTTACATTAAAATTAACATTAATAATGTATAAATAATTATTATAAATAATTTATATGTACGTATTTGCTTGTCTAGTCTTCGGTTATCGTCCATAACAAATTCAATTTCATCCAATGAATTCAAACAACCTCGTTTACATGGTAATTGAATATTACCACATAACCTTGAGGAAATTATATTTACAACTAGATACATCTTATTCCCTTATTAATATTGTGTTTTGAGTCCTTTGTATTATGTACCTATTAAAATGGAAAATAGTTGGCGGAATGAGCGAAGATTAAACAATAAAGTAAAAGTCTATTTTATCCAACAATAAAATACTTTCCTCTAGACGTGGCTATCAAAATAAGGAAAAAAAATAACAGACAACAATATAACATAATTAATCTAGATCCGTTGTTTCAATACACATTTAACTAGTTGAAATTGTTGCAGTTTTTACTCAAACTTTCTGTTCAGTGTCGATATCCGTTTTGTGTTGTCTGTAAAACAGATCGGCTTTGGAAAATCTTTTTGACTATGTTGAATAATCTGATTAAACATTGGTCTTAGTCGACAAGTTTTGTAAACTTGGCGGGGCCATGCATGTTATATCTTGCATAAATATATTTCAATATGAATAGCGATGAAAATAGAGCAATACTACATTTTTTGCGAAGGGCTGAAATTGATATATGAGGAGCTGATAGATTTTTTAGATCAAAACATAGTAAAATACTTTTAATGATCTGCATGATGCAACACGTTTTTGGTGGATCATTATCTTCACTATATAAAATTGTATAATGTAAGCTATTGTGAAATATAAAAAATATTATTTTCCAAAAACAAAGTATTTAGGTCGACGAATGTGGTTAACCAATAAAAAGATACATCACGAAGGATGAATGCTTCAACATAGGTTGAATCTAGGTTAACATAGGTTTGACATTAACATGACAATGTGCCGCGTAGTTTTCCAGTATATTACGCGTAGCAAGTTCAGGAAGTATGTGTTTACGGTACGAGCATGATGGTTTATGTGGAACGCTTGCCGAGTGTGAGATTTCATGCGAGTACCTAAACAACTTCTCGGATAAGTAAGTCACGGATGCTAATCTTTTGCCAATAATGCAGCAAAAATATCCAGAATGTAAAAACAACCCATACTTAAAATCACAACATTGTTTAATTTACATAACACTATTTTAGTAGAATCATCAACCGTTTAAAAAAGTAACTTTTAAAAAAAATTCTTACATTTAGCTATGTGTCTGGCAAAATACTTGTTAAGTGTTACGGAAGAGTTATCTTAGACCTTGTTCATTACAGTGTTTAGGTTAGAGGCAACAAACTTGGTATGAATATGATCAATACAATATCAACATCAATTATATATTCGTATAGTAACGTTACAAGGTTTTAAAATTTTTGCTCCTCCCTACGAGGGACTTTTACATTGTTTTCTGGGGTTTTACACTTCATGATTGTATACATTGAGGTAATTTAAAATGTTATATATTTGCAGACTTCATTTTACTTATGTTTATAAGCCATACAATTATTTGTTAAAAGTGATTTTGGTTCTGATTCTGTCCAACTGAAAATATAAATAATATTTTATTAGCTCCCACTATTATTTAACAACATGATTTCAACTGTGTGTAATATTTGTTAGTATAAGTGCATATAACCTATTTTTGATGTCAACAGCTCGAACGATATACATCAAAGAGTAAATAAGAGATATTGCATTCGAATGTTAAAAGTTGGTGATTTGGTAATGAGTAAAATAAGCTGACGAATCGAGCTGCTGTTTGTAATTTTACTACAAATGATTCTTTTATAACGGGTTAAAATTGTTATAAGGAAATTTACATTAAGGATTCTATCAGTTAATATCTCAAAACCGTACAAACCTACTCTGACGTCAACAGCTTCTAAATAGATTCCAACCTAGAATGCCTATTTCCATATATTTACATAAACCTTTACAATTACATTTGAATCTGGCAGTCAAATGTAGGAATGGATTCAAGTTTCCCAATCGGTTCAGGTACAATTACTTTCAATTAATTTTGGATTATTACTCATTAAAACATCACAGCGTAAGTCCGTGTTTCCAATTAGTTCAGTAGTTTAAATTTTTGAGGATTGTATTTTCGTCATTATATATTGTGTCACCTATATAAACACAATGTATTCTATGATTTTTTATTATTACGAAACTTCTTAATTCTTGGTATTTGATCTTAGCTTTGCCATTTTAACAATTGTTAACTTCAGTTATTCTGACTGTATAGTACATAACATCTTCAAGACTAAGTTTTGTTTCTGTTTTATCAAAGCATTTTATGATTTTGAATTACAAAAATGTTTTCAGGCCTTCAGTTTTATAAAATTTAAAAGTGATAATCTCCAATCCTGTTTTAGAAGAGAGCTGCACTACAAAAACATTAAATTTTCATAATTAAGAAAAACCCACTACAGCTATGACTTAAAACAGCAGTTTTTTTTACTATAGTGGAAATGTATAAATCCCGCTGTATATTATTATAATCATCAATACCTTAATTGTTTGTAAGTACCAGCAAAACCTTTCATTAACAGTTAATAAAATCTTAATTGTTCAACTGATTTATTACTTGGCTGTAAACAAGATTTTAATTTAATATTTGCGATACTACGATAGGGCTGCAATAAAATTCATTAGTTTGCAACCAGACATGAAGTGTTTACAGGTACATTATCCATATTTGATATTTTATTAGTTTATATATCATTATAAAGTAACTGTTATATTTCACAAGATATATTTTTATGGTTCTTTTTATTATTGTTTTACAATCTAGATCGTTTATGAATATTAACTTAAAAGGTACTGTTTCTTTACTATATATCAAATATTCAACAACTAAATTAGTATATTTTGAGAAGGTGTGTAGAGGTTTCCAGACATTATTTTACACACGACTAACTTTTCCAAAGTGAAACACAAGAAATAATATAATATATTATTGGACATACCTAATAATACCTATTAACAATAACTGCATTCATTGATTTACAGGATATGAAAAATGCCTTGATACATTTGTTTTTACTGGTATTAATCAGCATGATGATATTTTCTTCAACGACCGAAGCAGGTAAGGTTATTGTATAAATGTTCTTTAGGTAGATAATGTAATGATAAAACTACGATGGAGGCTTTTTACAACCCTTTACCCAATTGAGACAGGCAAATGTACTAATGTAGGAAGGAACAGGTACTCTTTTAGTTATCCACCTAATTAATGTGACACAAGTTCGTGTTTGACGTGATCATTACTATAAAACGAAAAAAACGCTGGCCAGGCAGTATTTAAATGCCACAATACAGAAACCCCTTTACTGTAAATATACAAAAGTTTAATAAAATCCAACATTTAATTATTAAATGTGAAAGAATCAAGTTCAATTATGTGTTTGAAGGATTAAACTATCCATAAGATTTCTTTTGTTTTTCTTTTGGTTTTTAAAGGTTGAGGACATAGACACTAACCAAATGGCTTTGTTATTCTCATACAAAAGAGTAAAGGATTCGTTCCTTATAAAACAAGTAAACAGAAAGTGACAAATGAGGATGATTAATAGTCCACCACCACAATCAAGTAACTTTCACATTTCCCACAACTAACATGAATGTTCTTTGATTATATTAAAATGGTTTGAAACATTTATCAACTCCATGGTACTGTCTGACTAACTGATTGATGTTTTATTTCAGTCTGTTGTTGCGGATTTGTAGTTAAGCCTTGTGGAAGTTATTGTAGAAACTTCAGAATGGGAGTTGCCAGGTCTTGCTCCTGGTTGGATGCGTATTTTAAATAAACGTTAGCTTTTTGGAGAAGAGATGAGTTTGTTTTAGAATTGTGAAAAACTGTTTATTTGAGTGAACAGAAAAATAAAATCATTTAACCAGACTCTTTGTATTTCCATTGTTTTACTGTTGTGTTTCAAATCCATCGATATAACAATAACATTTTTTTATATATTTTCAGTATTTTTCATCAGTTTCTAAATGTCTTCGCAATTTGTTTATTTTTTGTAGTTGGCGTTATGTTTAGCCAACAAAAATAAAGAGAGTCATTGATGGATTGGTTAACACGAACTAAAGTATTCAGTTTAGAAAAATAATTCATATTTTGTATAAGTCTGTTAATACTTCAACAGAAAATTACCAATGTGAGAGGAAAAAACTAACTTATTATAAATTAATCTAATTTTTGGTGTTTGTATTTCTAAAAAAAAAAAAAACACACACACACACACTAACTCATTTTTTACATGTTTGACTCCATTTCATACAGCCTAAGATATAACTAAAATAATCGACTTCTAAATTTACAAAGACCAAGTGTCAACAAAATGTCTCGCTGAAAGTAATTAGAGTAAAACTAAGGTAGGATTAACCGCAATCTGGTGAACTTGTTGGTTTTGACGGTGAAAAGATATGACACGGATTAAGAATTAATTAATTTAAAAGCAGACATTTCATTTAGAAGCAGAATTTCATTCGTCAAAAACCCGAAATCTTTCTAATCCAATGTGTTATTGGTAATATTGATTTCTTACATTATTATATCAAATTTACATCAAATAATATGTCTTTCCGGTAGAATAACCATTATTATAGTTATTAGCTTGTATTAATTTTTCTTCATTGAAGCAATGGATATTTTAGTTGTACCATATAAACGAATGATTAAACCAGATTACTTCACCCTTTACTGCAATAGAATGTAATTTAATAGTAACGAAAATAAAGTTTAAAAATACTGAATATTGGGTACTTTCCTGTTAAAGGGAACATTCATTATTATCGATGATTTATTTTCGATATATCGATAGTTTTGTTTTCCATCCGATATATTGATAGTAACAAATTGAAACATATCAGCTGACAAGTACGATATAGGATACAGTAAATAAATATTGTTCAGTATCAAAAAACAAAACAAAAAAAATGTATTGAAATGAAACTGTTCTAAACTAACCTAACCAACCAAACTTGCTGTAACATTTCAAAAATCCGTTTGATAGCCTATTATATGCCTTTTATGTTATCAAATGGAATTTTGAAACGGTAACTTAGCCTATACAGCAAGTTTGGTTAGTTATGTTGGGTTAGTTTAGAATAGTTTCATGTCCTAATCCAATATATAGGGTATTATTTTTGCCTAGACAAGGTTAGTTCTTAATTTGTAATTTAAATGCGTTTGAAGATATTAAAACAGAAGGAATACCAATCGTGAAGTAAAACAAAAATATCGATATATCGAAAATAAATCATAGATAATAATGAATGTTCCCTTTAACAGGAAAGTACCGAATATTGTTCAAAATTCAATAGTTTACTTTGGCCAGAAGTTAATAGAAAGTCATAATGGGTAGACAATACAATAATGTAGTGAATTAAAAATCACCGGGTTTAGTTTTAAACCGGCTGTCTTCAAAATAAGCAACATACAGTATTAACCCCTATACAACCCAAAATATATGGTTTTATTAAATGCCTCTGTTTTGACCCTTAACTAAGCCATCTTTTACTTAACCACCAGTTCACATGTTTAAAATGTTCCATTCAGTTGAAAATTATGTTAAATTACCTATTTTGGTAAAGAAAAAATAAACTTACGTAGCAACGAAAAATTACTACAGCAATGTTTTGATTAATTTTAAAACTATTTTCATGTTCTATTATATATGATGTTTATTGTAATTTATAATACAGTTAAAAAACAGGTGATCAGCACAAAAATGCTTTTGAAATATAAAAATATGTCCTATACATAATCAAATGTCTATGAAACTAAAAATCAAGTTTATCAGCAACTTCAAGTATGAAACTTGTCTTTTTGTGAGTCATATTTCCGCTCATTATCCAAAATGTATTGCAGTTACAGTTATTTTAACCGGGTTTGAACAATATTATAACGTACATTATTCTAATTATATTTATTTATTATTACTTCAAAATGGATTACTTCAAATAAAGTTACAACGGTTGTTCACAGTCACATTTTAGCGAATTTTTTATATAGGAAATAAGCTATTACAATAATCAATGCTATTTCTATAACCGTGGATGTGATGGTAAGACCTGGATTCGGGTCGATTTGTTGTTTCATTTTTAAGTTTTGGTATCTAAAATATATTCATATTAAACACCACTCAAATAGTTCAGTTACATATTGGAACCTATTCTTTGTGAATTAAATTGACTACTTTCACTTTATTCACAGTTGTATTCTTTCATAAAGCTATACTATACTTTTATTCAGTATTCAGTGAAAGCATACTCATTCACTTAACATTGACTCTATTAGTTCTAAATTCGTAAATAACTTTTGTAGAGAGAGATTGAAATTAGACACATTTTAATCTGAGACATACCAAATGAAAAGACTGAAAAGATAGGAGTACATAAACAATGTTTTGGTAATAGTATATTACGTTACTAGTCCTGAAAATAAGTGTTTACCGGACGAGTGTGGTCGTTCCCGTGCGAGACGAAGTCGAGTACGGGATTACCATACGAGTCCGGTACACACATTTTGGACGAGTTACGTACGATAGTTTACGCCATACTACTAAATCCGTACAAATCCTTATATATTTCCACCAACTAAAGGACTAATAAACACTAGTCATAACCTCTGAGAGAGGTTATGTTTTTGTTTATAACCACTAATTGCCACGAAAATACAGTATAATCAGCTGATTAGTGTCCGGTAAAACTCATTGCAGAACAGTATTACGCAATGAAACCCCATTTGAATAAGCTGGCGGCAAACAGCTGTTTTCTGGACTAAATCCTTGCGTGGAAAGTTCATCAAAATAATGTAGTGTGGCGTAAAATAAATAACCAGGAATCTTTCAAAATAGTGTTTATACTTGTCGGAGAAATGTTAATTTACATGTAACAAAGTAGTGTTAAGAATTTAGGACTTCAACTTGCCAAAATGAATTTAAAGTGGCTGACCAATTTGCTTTAGCAAAATTGAAAGCAAAGGAGAATGAGGAAGTTGCATACTAAGGGAGGGGTTATTTAGGTTTAAGAATAACGTAATCTAAAAAACCCTCTATCATAAAATAATTACAGTTAGCTTATGATTGCAACATTTACATCACAGTGTTTTGTGATAAAATAATTCACAATCTCCTTTGTGCTCCGACCTCTCTTTAAAGGTAGAAGTCAAAAGCTTCAGTATGCATGAGATCGGGTCATGTATTATTCAACCAAACAGACTTATAACTTTTAATCCCCCCGTCAAGTTTTTCTTCCTGCAAAGCTTATTTTCAAGTTATTTTAAAATATTTGTTTGCACAAGACGTACATAATATATACGTATAATTTTTTTTGGAGATTGCAAAACATAAACACATAAAATAGTATTCACACATTCAAACACATATAAGAAAACTTTATAGAACTAATACTAGTTAAAAATAATAATATAACTGAGCAAGTGCAGCAATAGCTTTCAATAATAAAAGAATACCAATAATTTTATTCCCGGTATTTTGCATTAAGGACAAATGGGAGTTTACCTTACTCCAATAACCCTGATTCCTAGGTTAGGTTAAATATAATTCCTCCATTTTATTTTATGTGTACTTTGCATTTGAGTTTTTACTTTACTCGTTCGTCTTAAGATCACTGAAAACCCCAATGTCTCCCTAATGTAAAAATTTTCCTTTTTATTTGTGTATAAAAAATGTCGTTTCTTCGTAACGAGCTTTTCTGTGGATTTATTTTATGGTACTTTCTCCAAACACATGTCTATTGGAGGTATTTAAAAGATATATTTATTTCAAAATGTATCATGTTCAGTAAAATTATAAAGCAGCATATAAACAACAAAGCAAGTGCCCATACAATGTGGTCACAAAGCTCTCAAAGACAGTCTTTCTTGTTATAATTAATGATGTTTCATCTCTACCCGACCTTCTTGTGCCATTCGCTTCTCTAACAACAAAATAAGATGAGATATTTCGTTATGGTAAACTCAGTTTTAACTAATATTTTGAGGAAATTTCACCGTCATTTTAAACTGCATTCAAAGTTGAATATTATAAGTGCAGTAATAAGCCAACAAACCAAGTATCTATTAACTGTAGCAATAGATAATTTATTTAACACTTTTTTGAAAATTGTTTACATTATCAACATGAAAATTAGATTTAAAATCCTATACAATACGGTTACGTTTCTCATAGATTAATTAGTAGTAAAAATATGATCTTTTACCTAACCCGCTATGTTAAACTTTCCTATCCCAAGCGTGATGTATACAACTTCTTTACTTCACGAGTGAAGTAAAGTTTCAAAAACTCACTCGGTGAAGTAAGGAAACCCATTTAAATAACATTGAGGTTTCAACATAGAAAAATATAAGCTCTACCTCTATGGAGCCAACGACGTTCAACGCTAGAAATCAGCTGTGCTCTTGAATTTTATTGTTATGCTTTAAAGTATTTTCATTTTCCTAACCTAGCTTTTGTTTGTAAAATAATGTTACTGTAAGAAGATGAGTGAAATGGATGATGAAAAAAATTGTACGTAACCCCCTGTATATTGTCGGGTCAGGTAAAATGTTTACAACACTTGATCAAGTATTAAATTTACATCGTGTTTTGTATGCAATTGTATTGCAATTTCTTAAAACAGTTTAATATGTTATTGAAGTTAATGCATGTTTGAAATGTCAAGGTGGATGTAATAGTAACTTTAAGCTGCTGTAATGAAATTCTCGCGTAAAAAACTGTGCTTACACCTAAGCACAAACTCAACTGGATGTTATTTATTTTCTTGCGATAACATACTACGAAACGAATTTTATACAAATGCAATTTGCTCTGAATGCAATTTGGAAGCAAATAATTATGTTCACGTTATGAAATCTGAATT